GCCACGCTCCTGGGCTGCTCTGAGCGGGCCCGGCTCCTCTTAGTCCCCCTCCCGGGCCAGCGCCTTGTCGTTCTCTCCCCTCCCTCAGCATGGTGGTTGAATTCGCCTGACGCGTCCCATTTTGCTTTACTCGCCAGCGCAGTCCCTCTGCCTAACCGCCGACGCAAAAGTGTGTTGTATATAGTGTGTGCGTTGTGTGTTGTGTGTTGTGTGTATGCGAGTGTGCGTGTGGGTGTGGTGTGAGTGTGTGTGTGTGTGTGTGTGTGTGTGTGTGTGTGTGTGTGTGTGTGTGTGTGTGTGTGTGTGTGTGTGTGTGTGTGTGTGTGTGTGCGTGTGTGTCCAATTCTCTCTCTCTCCCTCTCGCTCTCTTTTTCTGCGATCCCCTCCGCCTCTCTCCCAGGGGGTCGTCCCTCCTTGGCTCGTTCCCTCCCCCCTCGTCCCCAAGACGCCCGAGGCGGCTTCTTTGCGGGTAACTTGCCCTTGGAACGCTCGAACCCTTCCCCCGGGACCGGCATTTGATCCCCTGCTGCTTATGGACGGCCTTTCTTTTCCCGCGTGGCACAGCGCAGAAGAGTGATCTCAGAGGAGAAAAAGGTACCCATACTGCTACCCTTGCCTCGTTTTCCCCTGTTCGAGCCTCCTGGGAGGCCCTCGTCGCCACCGCCGGATTCGCCTCGAAGACCTGGTCAGAACGCACCCCGGGAGAGGTCCGGGGAGTAGTGGTATCGCTACCTTTCGGTTTCCCCATTCACAGCGGCGTCACCAAAATCAGCTACTCTCCCTGGGAGAGTATCATGCCGAAGGGTGTCCCAACAGCGCCTGGCCTTGTGGGAGCTTGTCGGCACCAGTTGTCCCCTGGCTGAGCGCGTCCGCCGACCCCAGGTGCAGGAGCGGGCAGACCAGAGCCAGCCCAGGAAGAGCGAGGGGCCCCGCTCTCTCGTGCCAGGCACCCGGCGCCTCGAACAGAGTCCGTGGAACAAGAAGCCCAACGGTCCGTGAGGTATTCACTTGTGGAACAAGTGCCACGAGCCGCCGCGACGAGCATGGTGACCCGAGCTCCCGACGCCGCCTCCGGGCGGCGCTTCCTGGGCAGGTCCCGACCCGTCGCCGGAGGCGGGGGCGGTTCAGAGATGGGACCCTTTGAGGGATGGGGCCCGAAGGACAGGAATGGATCCGAGGCTCCCTCGTCCTCGTCCTTACACCCCCCTGGAAAAGTAGTCGGCCGCGGCCGACGGCGGGAAGGTCGGAACGCGTGGTGCCCCGCGTGGGCATTGAAACTGAGGGGCGTGGGTGGGGCGGACCGCGCGCGAGAGTTGCATTGCTGTTCCAGGGCGCTGGCCTGCGATCGCGTGCAGATGTGCAGGCGATGCCTGCGCCCCATTATTGGACACGCCAGCGGTGCCTGCGCCGCGCCATGCGGGGTGCCTGCGCTGATAAAAGCCAGTGTCCGCGGTGCGTGCGCTCGCTGCGGCGCCCGGGCGACGCCGGCACCCCCTGTGATCTCTGGAAGCCGTGACGTGGGGACAGCGCCTGCAGTGTGGGGCCCCACGTCCCCCGCCTTCGAGCCGCCAGCCGGGAGCCGAGGGTCACATGCTCGCCGCGGGATGCCCGCGCGCGGCGCCTCGCCGCGGAGTCCTCTGGGCGAGCGCGGCGCCGCCCGGGCTTGAGCGCCAGCCCCTCGCCTCCCGCTGGGGCGCCTTCCCCCCCCCCACCACCACAGCGCAGGGCCTTCGGGGCGTCCCGCTCGCGCGGGTGTCCCTCCACACTGTGGCGGCCGCGCGCGGGTGGCCCCAGCACAGTGGCGGGCCAGCGGCGGCGGCGCGCAGGCGCGGGTGGCCCACGGCGAGAGCTGCAGTGCGCCTCCACGGAGGCGCACTGCAGCTCTCGCCGTCTTCAAGCGCGCCCCCGCCCTCTCTGGAGGTCCCAGCTTTCGAGCCGGGCGTTTTCGCATCTTTTCGGGCCCCGAGGCCTCGTAGCTCGGGCGCGGCCAGATGCTGTGATGGGGCCCCTCCCGCAGCCCCAACGGCTTGGAGCAACCCTGAGATGCTGGCGTCGCGAGTCGTTCACAACCAGCGATCTCAGCTGCCCTGCTACGCCCGTCTTGAAGCGCAACATGTGCCGTGTTCAAAACCTCTGGGTTGAACACGCTGCGTGTTGGCTCAACGTGCTGGTCACGTTTTGGCGAACGCATCGCGCCAGGCCTACGGCTTCAGTCTGAGTGTGGGTCTCCGCACCAGCACGCTATACGTGTCGCCTGCTGCGTATCGGGGCAGCTAAGCCGGCGATGTTGCCCTGCTTTCACAGGTCGGCCCAGCCCGAGACAGTCAGACGGGTCCCGGGGCTCCTGTCGCGCTTTTCTCCATTGTGCTGCACTTTTTCGCCGCGCCGTCGGATCTCGGGGCCGTTCGGCGAGACCCTGCAGCAATGAAAACGCCCCAGCGCCTCGCCTCGCTGAGCAACCACTGCCCCTTCCAGATCCACGGGAGCGGCACGTCGGTGGACGAGACCATGACCCGAAGCCGCCGCCGCTGCTGGTGCTGCCGCGGCCGGCTCTGCGCCGCCCGCCTGCGCCGCCCCGGGACTGGGCCGTGTTCCTCCACCCTCTGCCCGCCCTCGCGCCCCCAGCTGCTCTGCACCTCGTGCCTCACATGCCCCCTCCTCGGTCTCCACCCCGGGGCCAGAGGGGCGTCCCCTCCCAGCCCGCGTGCGACACGGAATATGTTGTGCACAGCCTTGTCCTTACAGCGTCGAGCGTTGCACGGCGCGCGTTGCCAATGACCTCGGATAGTAGATATGCGATCGTTTGAGGTAGTAGCTGCGCGAGTGTTACGCTGTGTGTACAGCTGCACATAACCCCCACACGCGCACGGCCGAGTCCTATCCGATCTTCCTTGGTCTCGGCCTGGCCCTGTCCTCGGCCCTGTCTTCAGACAGTTCCTTCTTCGACAGGGCGCCCACTGATACAGCATGGGACCACACGTATTGTCTCAGCAGTCCGCATTCATGTTCGGCCACCCGAACCAGCAGCATGCCAAATCATACCTGTACCGATGCCGATGCCTCCCATCTCCATCCGCCCTTCCCTCTGCCCCGAAGTGGCTTGCGAGTCTGTCGTGGGGCTCTCGCCAGGCCGCCCTGGGCCATCTCGGAGGCTTCTTCGGGCCCTCCAGGGCTGGCTTGGCGCTCTGAAGCCATCGTGTCGAAGCAAACAACGTTGCAGATACAGTACGTCGAAACAAAAAACGCAGTTCTTTCAATGCGCTTGTTGGGGCCTCTTCGGACACATGCGGAATGCATTTCAGCTTCTGGAAGGTATTCCAGCAACGTGGGGCCCGTCGTGGGATCACTCGCAGCCGTCTTGGGGCGTCCTGGGGCATTTGGGGGCTGTTTCCGGGCCGCGGAGATCGCCTGGGAGGCCCAACGGGACGAGGGGCATGTATCTTGGCATCGCTCGGACGTGTGCATTTCTTCTCGGCAAGCACCATCTGGGAGCATGTGGGATCATCTTGCGAGAAATGCACGCACGAAGCCGAACAAGGGAATGGACGTTCGAGCGATGGCAAGGTGTGGCTCGAGGGGCAGCGCTGCCCCGGCAACGCATCAGCCATTCGATGAGGCAGCCGACAGACTTTCTCACGCGGCCCGGCGCGCCCAGGGCACGGCTGCGCAGTGCCCTGCGAGGGCCTGGAATCCCAGATCGTGGCGTCGGCGGGGGAGCCAGTGATGCACAGAGACGTTGGCAAGCCAGGTGAGCGGGACGAGCCTGGGCGCCTTCGGCGTAGCAGATTCGTTTTAGAAGCTTGCAGCGGCTGCACGGGTGGAGGGCTGCTCTTTTTTTGAACGCGTCTCCAGCATCAGCTCCGCGCACAAGCGCTTCAAACATTTGCAACACATTCACTGGCGAAGAGCGGCTCTTGCTCAAGAGGTGACTCTCGCAAGGAGCGTAGATTCGCGCAGCAATTGCACGGGGTAGAGGGCGGCCCCTCGTCCGAACGGGGCTGTCGCCTGGGGTGGTCCGAGGTTTCGCGATGCGCAGCGCGCGCACGCATTCCCGCGACCACCCCCCGTGCTCGACGCGCCCAATTCGCTCCTTCATGCCCTCGACCCGGAGGAGGAGGAGGAGGAGGAGGAGGAGGAGGAGGAGGAGGAGGAGGAGGAGGAAGAGGAAGAGGAGGGCGGACAGGGAGCAGGATCAGAAGGAGGGCGGAGAAGTTCGGAGAAGGAGGAGGATGAGGAGGATGAGGAGGATGATGAGGAGGAGGGGAAAGGCGGAGGCGAAGGGGCGCGACATCTGTTGCGTGCAGCTGAGTTGCTCGGACGGGGATAGGACGAGGATGAATTCATTCCCGAGCGTTCGAGATTGCTCTGAGAAGGCCGCGGCGCCCGAGACATCTTCTTGAACCGCCACCCGAGTGTATCTTCGTACTGATTTCGTCTTAGGGAGGGGGCGCGACATCTATTGCGTGCAGCTGAGTTTCAAAGGCGCTCCTCGATGCATCACGGTCGCCTTCTGGCGCCCAGAGGCGCCTGGACAGCCTGTGAGGTGCGTCTGATTCCGGAGCCCCCCTTTTGGCGACCCCCTTTTTCGTCCATGCCGAAGTGAGTGGGAACTGAGGATGCTATGGCGAAAGCCATAGCCCTTCTCCTGTCTCTTCCTCCTCCTCCTCCTTCTCATTATCCTCCTCCTCCTCCTCCTCCTCCTCCTCCTCCTCCTCCTTCTCCTCGTCATCATGGTTCTAGGTTGCCCGCCAGGGCCCGATGATGACTGCGATTTGCTATTCACGGTCTGGATTTGATGCGTGGTCGTCGGTTGCTTGCGAGGCTCGAAGGCAACTCTGAAGAAGCCCGCCGCATGCGCCGCTTATCTTAATGGCCTCCGGCCTGTGCAACCGATCCGAGGCGCTCCTAGTGGTTGAGAGCCGCGCCCGCGTAGCGAGGAGGAAAGAGGTTTGAGGTTCGAGGTGTCCGGAGGTCTTCGCTGGTTCTTAGGTCGGCGCTTTCGCTTCCGAGACATACCAGGTCAGACTACGCACTTCTGGTTGTAACCTCAGCAGAGCTGGGGCCTGAACGAACTCCACACTTCGTGATAAAAGGAGGGCTAAACCCCCACCAGACCAGCCATGAAAGGGCGGCCTTTTGCCCAGTCCCTCCTGGAACCCTCCAAGACAGATCATATCAGACCACCCCCCTAAAAAATCAGACCCCCTTTTTTTCTTTTATGTAAGCCCGAATTTCGCTTCTTTAGACTCACACGCCGGATCGGCGGGTTCGTCAAAACTACGCGGGTGGGTTTCAGCCGGGTCGCGGACGGGTCGTGCGCGGGTCGCGTGTGGACGGTTCGCGGGTGGGTCGCCGGCGAGCGGCGGGCGCCGCGTCGCGGATGAGGTCGCGGGCGGGCCATGTGCGAGGACGGCGAACAGTAACAACAGCAATGGTCGTTACATTTGTCGCTTTTCGTGCCCGCATGTTACTTGACATGTATTACACGAATACCCCCAAGCCCTCGATACCCGCACTCCGTCTTCGATCGTACTCCCCTTTGGGGGGTTATATGTTCCTTGCCTGCCACGTGTCGTTGGCGCGGCCCCTAACATAGGAAGGGGAGGGATAATTGAAAAAGAAAAAGGGAGGCAGCGAGTAAGAGAGGGGGAAACGAGAGCGGAGGGGGGCAAGAGCGAGATATTTACTAGAATTGAGGGCGAACAGACATATTTAGCAGGAGTGGGAGGAAAGAGAAACAAGTGTATTGGTAGGCGGACCCTGACGGGCGGGGCGGGTGGGCAGACCCTAACGGGCGGGTCGGGCGGGCGGACCCTAACGGCCAGGTCGGGCGGGCGGGCCGTAACGGACGGGTCGGAGCAACGAATCGATTTTCGTAAACAGTGAAGAAGCTTGGGGCGAGAGCAACGATTTCTCAGTAAATCGTAAGGAAGCCTAGAGCACGGTTCCTGAACGCTGAGGGCGCGGCCTGTTACTCAGTTGCAAGGAGGTCCCAAGCGAGAACGCGATCCTTGTGCGAATTGCAAGGAAGTCTCGAGCGAAAGCACGACTCCTTAATCAATTGAGGAAGCATCAGGCGGGAACCATTGTTGTTGTAAACCAGTGGCCAGAGACAGCTCGAGCCTCAAGGCTTTCATTTGTCAAAACCAGGGTGCGAGCCCTGGGGTGCGCATTTGAATTGAAAATTGATAGGGCACCAGGCAGGGGGGATCATAACAGTTTGTTTTTAGCGAGAATCCGCACCGCGGAACCCCATTTCAGCCACGCACCCCGGGACGGTGTAGGACCGTTCGGGCCCTCACTCTGACATAGGCGAGGTCCCTTGAATGCTGCCCCAACCTCTCCTATGCGTGCGAACTCCTCCCTCTCTCTCCACCGCTGTCTCTCTCACGCTCTCTCCGTCTCTCCCTCTCTCTCGCTCTCTCTCTCTCTCTCTCTCTCGTTCTCTTCCTCTCTCTCTCTCTCTCTCTCTCTTTCCCGACAAGGCCAGGTGCCTGGCACTCTGCCCCAACCCGCCGGGCGAAAACTTGGTATCGGTTTATTCCTCGATATACGTTCGAAAAACTGCTCGCACTCCTGCAAGTTTTGTGGGCACGCGATTTTGCGACTTGATCTCGAGATTTCGAGCAGCTGCAGAGGTTCCCTGTGTACCAAAAACTCTAGCTGCATGGGGAAAATAGTTTAGAGGTTCGAGAAGCCTCAGATCGGTCGCGTCCTCGAGCTATGGCCAAACCAACTGTTCGCATACTGCAAATTAATGGAAAATCTTTGTTTCCTAGACTTGGTCTCGAATTCAGAGCAGCGGCAGAGGCTTAGGTGAGACCATTAGTTCAGCAGCACAACCATGAGTATCACTGCAGTCAGGAAGGAGCATCAGTTTAGAACTCCACACATAAAAACAACAACACAACATGATGCTTTAACTTGTTTCCAACGTCGAGCAGGTTGGCAGAACGAACTGCGAAGCACAGGCAATTACCAAGGCTCAGTCTCATGTTTCCGCAGACACATGAGACATGAACCAGAGGGAGCGCCTGGAGCAGGCGGCAGGGGCAGGTGCCGAATCACCACGAGGCGCCGCCCGCCACCTGCGCAGGCGGCCGCCGTCGGCGAAGACCTGCGCAGGCAGAGCGCGGCGGGCGCCGGGCCCGCGCTGCCGCCCTCGGAGTTGTCGCAGTTCCCACGGCCGTCTGCGCCGCGCCCTCTCCCAGAGGTGCGAGCCCCGCGTTCTCCCTCTATCCATCGCCGTCGCTCTCACGCTCTCCCCCTCCCTCTCTCTCTCTGGCTCTCTTTCTGCTGTGCTTCTGCCTTTGCGTCCGGCTCCCTGTCGCTCCAGGATGCAGTTTCTGCAGAGCAACTACGTCGCCGACCATGTGCAGTCCAGCGCCAAGTGCGTGACGATGAAGAGTGGGAATGGGAGCTGGCGGGGTCGAATTCTGCGTTCAGGCTTTCCAGGGAGGGCCTCGTCTTCGAGGAATCGAGAAGTTGGTATCCCTTCCTCAGCGGAAGGCTTGCGGTATGCGGCAGAACTAAAACGGGGGCGGCTCCGCCATCGGAAGCTGGCGGAAGGCCAGCGGAAGACGGTAGAAGTAAGAATCGCCCCCTCAAGAGTTGACAAGTTTTTGAGGTTCAGGGATTCCAGGATCGGCCACCTGGGAGGGCGCCCTGATCGACCCTGATGCCCGGGCGTCGTGAGCAGACACGACGGGCGTTCTTTCCCCGTTGTGGGTGGCCCCATGACTTGCACAGCTCGGTCTGGCCACAAAGATCGGATCCGAAAACGGAGTCGAGGGCTCCTGTCGTGATTGCGCCATTCCTCAAGCAGTGGTGAGGCGTCTCGGCTTGCCTGAAGGCCAGAGAAAGTTCTAAAAACGTTTTGCGAATTTCATTTAAAAGCACTTCTGGCCAGACGCTGGTTTTATGTTTCACGAACATTGAACTTGTCATTGCAACACTACTGATCCTAAGAGCATGTCGTGGTAGGCCTATTAGGAATGCCGGGACATTCGGCCTCTGGTCAGATGGCGCCGCGCTGCTTGTTTATTTTACTTTGCGGCCTCGGAAGCGGGGTCGGCACAGTGGGGGCGCACGAATATCAATCATAATGTAGGGAGTGTTGCCAGGGTGCGGCGGGTTCGTAGCTTCGACGCGGCGGCGACGCCGGTGCTAGCGACGCCGGTGCTAGCGTCACCGCGGGGATGGGACCCGCGGCAGAAAATCCATGCAAAGGATGTGGTCGACAGCTTCTCGGGGCCTCTCTTTGGAAGGGGATCGTTCCAGGTTGAACCGCCAGAACGGTGACGGAACTTTGATGAGGACGATGACGATAATGATGACGATGACGATGACGATGGCGATGACGATGACGATGACGTCGTCACGGCAAGACCTTGCTGCAGGCGACAGGCAAGGAGGGGTCCGCTCTGTCAACGAGGCACCACCGCAGGAGGCGTGGCCAGCCGCCCCGGCAGCGCCACAAAGGAAAAGCCTCCCGCCCCCGCGCAGAGGGGCCGCAGAAGGTTCGAGGAGGAGGACCCCTCCCCTCCTCTCCTCCTCCTCCTCCTCCTCCTCCTCCTCCTCCTCCTCCTCCTCCTTCTCCCCCTCTTCTTCTCCTCTTCCTCCTCCTCCTCCGCCTCTTCCTCCTCCTCATCCTCCTTCTCCTCTTCCCCCTCCCCCTCGCCCTCCCCCTCGCCTCCTCCTTCCCCTCGCCTCCTCCTCATCCGCCTCCTCCTCCTCCGCCTCTTTCTCCTCCTCCTCTTCCTGCTCCCACTCCTCCTCGTCCTCCTCCACCTCCTCATCATCAGCAGCATCATCATCCTTCTCCTCCTCCTCCTCCTCATCATCATCCTCCTTCTCCTCCTTCTCTTCCTCCCCCTCTCGTCATCACCATTATCATCGCACAACCCGAGGCGCCAGGGGCATTCCACGAGACAAGAGAAATGATACACAACACAGTGGTTGATCAGCCTCTCAGTCGGATGTGAGAGGGCATACCAATCCTTCACTGAAACAACGCGGCACACATATGAGGCACGCGGCCAGAACACACACACAAGCAAAACAACAGCAACGGATTCCAGATAGGTGTGTGCGCGTGTGCTTCAGAGACAACCACAGCACATCAAGCTACGATGCAAGCGCTCAGATCACACACTTGCAAAGACAAATGACATTGCAGAACATTGAATGCAAGAGACGTGCGCGCACAAAAGTGACATACTACTGCTGCTCACACGATGCATCGGAAGGCGGTCCGATTCCACAGATGCCTGGGGTGAGCCGCGCCTGCCGCCGAACAAATGGACGTCCCGTGGATGATGCCACAGAGGCCAACCACTGCTCCAATTCCTCGAGACGTTCGTTGACGTAGTTAACCTCGTTCCTGCGGCGCACAAACGGTTGAGCCTCCGCACGGCAGCGCACCCGACCAGGGAAGGCGACGATCTGGCGGTGCATCTCCTCCAGCTCCTGCACAGCCAGCCAATCCACCTCCTCCACGAGCAGATCCACGTCAGTGTCCAGGGCCGCGTCGTCAGACTGCTGGGCATCTTCCTGCTCCTCGTGCACCGTCTCCATGCAAGCCACCACGGCAGGATGACCACGCCGCGCATCAGCACCAGCAGCCAAGCCCCCAGCGCCAGCGCCCGCCACACGCGGTTGCCCAGCCGCTTGGGCAGTCATCCCCCGCAGGGGCCCTCTGGCCGAGGCACTGCTGGAGGTCCCCTCCAGCACAGACAGAGATGCAACGTCGGCGGAGGAATGGAATTCGCCCCCGCCCGACGAGCCCTCAAACTTCCCCTCGGGAACGACGGTCGGGCCAGGCCGCCTTGTCAACATGAAGCACGGGCCAGGCAGCTCGAGTAACGAGAAGACAGTGGCCCCGCACGTGCACACGATGATAGATGGGAGCGGCTCCCACCGTCCAGCCCCTGGAACGACTGCTGCCGCCGCCCCGCTGCAGCCTGTTGAGCTCCGTGCTGCTAGCTAGGGCGATGACGTCCGCTGGAGTGTCGAACACGTGCTCGGCCGCGTTGCGCCTGGCCCTGACTGAACCAGGGATGGGCCTGCCCTGCAGCTTCGCAGCCAAGACAGGAATGATGAGCAGAATCCTGCGACCCAGCTCGGACTCGGGCTCCAGCGCTTGCTCGAGCTCGCGCACAGTCCAGGGCGCTGGCAAGTCGCTCCGTGAGGGCATCCACCTCGTGCCTCGCCGCTGCGAGGCCTGCATCCGCTGACTCCAGAGCCCGCCGCCGCGCCGCCGACCGCTGAGCTAGGCTCCTCCGAGGATCGCCTGCCTGGCAACCCTTCCCGCAGCCGTCTCCTCCTGCATGCACTGCCATCGTCCGGAAATGGCTAAGGCGGAAAGCGGGACAAAAAACAGCTTGAGCCAAAAATGGCTACGCTCCTCCTCCTCCTCCTCCTCCTCCTCCTCCTCCTCCTCCTCCTCCTCCCCCTCCTCCTCCTCCTCCTCCTCCTCCTCCTCCTCCTCCTCCCCCTCCTCCTCCTCCTTCTCCTCCTCCTCCTCCTCCTCCCCGTCCCACGCTCCTCCCCTCGCTATCTGGGCCTGGGTCCAAGACCCAGGCCCAGGAAGCAAAAGGGCGAAGCGAACGCCAAGAAGGCGCAGAGCGCGCCCTGCGGAGCGCTGGCGGCGCCGCGGACTCGGCGTGCTTGCTCTTGCTCCTGCAGGGCTCAGAGCCAGACGCATGCACGGAAGCCTGCGGGGAGGAGGAGGAGAAGAAGATGGGCTGGCGCACCCCAAGCTATCGCCCCGCCGCTCTTCTCAGAGAAATGTGACGAGAGAGGGGGGGGACATCAGGGCGGGGGCCATGATATCCCCCCAGGTTTCCTTGCGGCCCCTAGTCTTATCTCATCACGTCCCCGACCCTCCAGTGGACCGCGCACGTGCCGCTGGCCATGATTTCACCCCCCCCTCTTGGAATCCCCCCTCTTGGACGCCCACGAGGGAGGGGAGGATCACACGAAAAGGGGGCGCACAGGGAATGCCGAGGGAGGGGGTGGCGGTACGACTTCTGCGGCATGCACCCAGGTTCGGCCCCGCCGCCAGGAGCCCTCCCCTCGAACACGCTGACGTCTCCAGCGCCGGAAGGCGCGGGATGAGGAGGCCGCGCGAGCTGGGTCGCGGACCCCCACTTTCGTTTCCCGGAGTCGACGAGAGGGGCGAATAGCTCAGGGGAAAGCAGTACATGTATCCAGGGCCTCTGATCGCCGATGTCTTCGACGAGGCCCCTGGGCGAATACGTGTCACGCCCGCCCCGAGGAGAAGCACGGACCACCGCCACCGAGAACCCACTAGCGGGGGGGCCGACCCCTGGGCGGTGGCACGCCGGAGCGTCATCCCGTATTTCTTGGGTGGTGCTCGGGCGTGCTGCCGCCCAGGGGGTCGGCCCCCCCCTCCCACCGATGGGCTCTCGGCGGTGGTGGCCCCTGCTCCTCATCTGAGCTTTCTCATGCAGTCGGCCCGAGGTATAAGATCGAGGTCGGTTCGGGGAGGGTTCCCCAGTGCTCTTCGTGTTTGTTGGACGTTCTCGTGCATCCTGGGGAGAGGCTACCCTTGGATGTTCTGTTTGTCTTGGCCGACAGGGGGTCTCATGTTCTTGAGGGATGCTCTTCTGGCCCAGGTCCGACTGCATCCCCCCCGCCTCGTCCGACCCGACGGGGCGAGGCGTCGGAGGACGCCCCCTCCTCCAGGGGGCGCCCTGCTCCTTCTCGAAGGGGTTCGCGCGGCGGTGCGGCGCCCCGCGACCTCTCCGCCCACTGGGCGAAGGGCCACCAGAGGAAGCTCTCCCCCCTCGAGGGCCCGGGGATGCGCTTCCGCGGCAGAGCGGAGGGCGTCGACGATGCGCCGGCGCCAGCGCCGGCGCCGGTGTGGCGGCAGGTGCAGTGGCGACGGCGGCCGCGGCAACGAAGGTCACGGCGGCGAGCGGCGACGGCGGCAGCGGCAGCGACACAGAGATCCAACGGATTGAGAAAAACAAGCCGGAGGTTTTTCGCGGTTTCCGGCCTCCAAGTCCCCAGGACCGTCGAAAAACAACTCCGGATGAAGAGCCAGCCCTGGGGAATGGGTCGAGAGTTCCAGGGACCCCGCATTGAACACAAACACGACAGACAGCGACGCCAGCGACGACGAAGGTAGCGAGGACGAAGTCGACGGCGACGGGAGGACGGCCGCCTCGCAGGGGCCGATTCGATGTGCCAACCTCGAGGGCCGCGCGCGGGCTCGCGACCGCGCGACGACGATGCGGCGGTCCAGGTCGGACGGCTGGAAGAGCAGGAGAGGCCTTGCCCCCATGCCTCCTCCCTCACTCCCCCCTCCTGGAGAGAGCTGCAAAGAGGGGAGGAGAACGGGCGAGCAGGAAGGAGGGGAACGACGACGACGACGACGACGGCGACGGCGACGGCGACGGCGACGGCGATGGCGACCGCGACGGCGACGGCGACGGCGACGGCGACGGCGACGGCGACGGCGACGGCGACGGCGACGGCGACGGCGACGGCGACGGCGACGGCGGCGGCGACGGCGGCGGCGGCGACCGCGACGGCGACGGCGACGGCGACGGCGACGACCACGGCGACGATGACGACGGCGACCGCGGCGGCGACCGCAGCGGCGGCGGCGGCAGCGGCGGCGAGCCGTCGTCATCCAGCGGCCAGGCTCAGTGCGGCGGCGGCGGCGGCGGCTGGGCAGAGCGCAGGGGGGGCGGGGTGGGGCCCAGGTGGCGAGAACGGCAGGCTGGCGCCCAGACGGAGCTGGCCGAGCGCGAGTGCCATGTTCGACCCGGCCGCCAGGCAGGCCGGCCCGGAGGTCGTTGGGCGTCGCATAGGGGGTGGCGATATATAGGGGGCAGCGGGCAGCGAGGGCTGCCAAAAAGGGGCCTCAGGGGGCCCTTCAGCGTCCAAGAGGGGGCCTTTTGGGCCCGAGGATTGCACCTTTCTTCCCCCCCCATGTATCGCCCCGCCAGAAGTCCGCCACGCATGAGAGTGACCCACCCGCCAAAGTTACCTTTTTGGTGTGCGGCTTTCGGAGGGCGCGAGGGGGGCCAAGCCGAAACTATAATAGGCTGCCGCTGTCGCATCGCGCAGCGATCGGCAGGCTGGGCACCAAGAGGTCGCTTCTGCGGGGCGTCACTCTTGCGCGTCGCCGGCTTAGCCCTCCAGCGGCACGAGCAAATCCCGACGGCCGTTCCTGTCCAACGTTTTTTGCTGGCAATTGAAGGCCCGCTTCTGCCCCCCTGGAGCGGGGTCAAAATAATGCTTTATTTCAGGTTCCCCAGAACAATATTGCAGGGTCAAAAAATTTGTCCGGGTCCAAACAATTATTTCCAGGAGCCGTCGCGTGGGACATCTTCGAAACATCTGTTCGGAATGACTGGTCGGTTGGTCGGCTGGTTGATTGGTTTGTTGGTTGGTTGGTTGGCTGGCTGGTTGGTTGGTTGGTTGGTGCGTTTTTTCGGAGTTAGCAAAAATTCGTGCTGGGTCAAGAAAATATTTCCAGGGGCCGTTACGTGGGTCATTCTCCAAAAATCCTTTCGGAATGACTGGTCGGTTGGTCGGTCGGTTGGTTGGTTGGTTGGTTGGCTGGTTAGCTGGCTGGCTGGTTGGTTGGTTGGTTGGTTGGTTGGTGCGTTTTTCGGAGTTGGTAAAGATTCTTTCTCGGTCAAAAAATTGTTTCCAGGGGCCGTTACGTGGGTCATCCTCCAAAAATCCTTTCGGAATGACTGGTCGGTTGGTCGGTTGGTTGGTTGGTTGGTTGGTTGGTTGGTTGGTTGGCTGGTTAGCTGGCTAGCTGGTTGGTTGGTTGGTTGGTTGGTGCGTTTTTTCGGAGTTAGCAAACATTCTTTCTGGGTCAAAAAATTATTTCCAGGAGCCTTCGCGTGGGACAGCCACCAACAATCTGTCGGGAATGACTGGTTGATTGGTCGGTTGGCTGGTTGGTTGGCTGGTTGGTTGGGTGGTTGGTCGCTTGGCTGGCTGATTATTTGGTTGGTTGGTTGGTTGATTCGCTGGTTCGCTGATTGGCTGGTTGGTTGGTTGGTCGGTTAGCTGGTTGGTTGGTGGTTTGGTTGGTTGGTCGTTTTTGTTATTACATACATAGATGTGTATATATAAATATAGGTCAAGAAAATCCGGGTCAAACAATTTGTTCAGGGGACGTCGCGTGAAGTCATCCTCAAGAATTCGCGGCGTCAAGCACGTTGGCACGCATCTCCTCAACGCAGACTTCGCCGGTGATGTCCGCCAGTGCCACTGCGACTGGCACGCGGGGGAAGGGGAAGGCCCGCGCAGCGGAGCTTCCAGCATCTTTCAGGGCGGGGGACGGGGCGCACTTCGTCGGCGCCACCTCGCGCCCCTCTGAGCGCAAAGCACCGCCGCTCGCGGGTCTCCCGCCCGACGTCCTGGACCAGGGGAGGGCGTGGCGCACGGGCATCCTCAACGTGCTGCAGCGCCACCTCCGCGACCCGAAGCATATCGACGTGATCCGATCTTGGATCAGCTGCCTCCGCGCGCAGCCCACAGCTCTGCTCTTCACGACTCTCAGCCACTGGTTCTTCCGGGTGCTTGCGGAGCTGGGAGAAGCCCCCGCGCGCGACGCGCTGCAGGGACACTATCACCGGAGGATGCCAGCGGAGACGGCGCGGCAAACGTTCTCCCTCACGTCTTGGGCGGGCGACCCAGAGCACATCTGGATGGCGGACGGGCGGGCCGGCATCGAGCGCATGCCGCTGGGGTCTGCGGGCGCTTCTCATGCGCAGGAGGCGTGGCACCGGCATGACGGCATTACTTGAGAAGAGCTTCGCCGGGAACACGAAGATGCCGCTCCCCAGCTTGAGCAGTGCACGCAGCTGCGGGTGCGCCGGACAGCTCACCAGGACAACGCAGCCCTCCCAGACACTCCAGGGGAACCATTCCCGCATCCCTCGCTGAGAGGGGGAGACCATCTGACCAGGCGAGGCCGCTCGGGGGCATGCGATTACCACGACGCCAGAGCGTGCGTGCGACACGCGGGAGCAGACGGCGCGACGTGCACGGCGATGCGCCGCACGTTGTGCACCTTCGGACTCTAGGCTTCCTGGATAGGGTCCGAGTGAACGGTGTCGGAGGATCGCGCCGCATCGCCGATGCATTGGCGATGCCTCGGCGATGCATCGGCGATGCGGCTCGATGCGGGGCCCAATTCTCCCCGCGCCGACGTCGCCGATGCATCGCTGGCGTCGCCGATGCATCGCCGACGCGTCGCAGATAAATCGGCGATGCGTTGGCGATGCGGCACGATCCTCCGACCCCATCTACTCGGACCCCATCTGGGAGGCCTCTATGGACGGGGACTGGCAGAGACCCGCGGCCGGCGCCACCCAGCCGCCGCGGGCAGCCCAGTACGCCCTCCACGCAACAACCGCCCTGGAACTCAGCCAGGCGTTCCGCGACATGGGCGGGAGCGACACTCTGGCGAAGAACGGCAACGTGCTCTTCAGGGCCGTCTCTGGGAAGGCCCTCGTCGCCCCCGCCCCGCAGGCGCGCCGATTCTGGCGCCGCCCCGGTGCGGCGTTAGGCGCGGAGGCGCCGCGCATGGAGACGCGTTGCCCCTGGTGCCCCGTGGCCATCACTTGCGGCGCTTGCGAGCGCCAGCAGGTGGAGTACCGCGTCCGGCGGCCAGATGCTCGCGGAGAAGAAATCGACGAAGACCCCGCGTCGCCCACCCCGCGCCTGCTGAAAGGTCGCAAACGCCCGCCCCGGGCCAGCCTCCCGCCAGAGCAGCGCCCGTTCGAGCCAGCGACGCAGGCTTGCGACCAACGAGTCGCCCGCGTGCTGGAGGAGGTCGGGCCAGGGCATTTCGGAGAGGCCTTCAGGCGGGAGGCGGGCGACGGGGCCGGAGGCGCTGCGTGGCTGCAGACACTCTTCCCGGACATTCCCGCCGGAGCGGGCCTCGAGCTTCTCCGCGCAGCAGCTGAGCACCGCCAGAAGTCGCCAGAGGACGCTGGCGCTGGGAAGGCGCGGACCGCCATGGGCCGCAGCAGCGGGCTCGGCCCCGCGCTTCCGCAGGATGCCCCAGACCCCGATGCCGACGAAACAGGTGCCATCGCCGACGCGAGCGGCGCCGTGTCCGAGGCCGACGCCGACGGCGCCCCCCTCTGTTGGCTCGTCAATTTCGCCACAGAGATCGCCCATCCAACGGTCGACGGCGTCTCCCCTGCGCGCAGGGCGCCCGCCGCTCCTACAACAAATCGGCTCGGGTGGATTTCGCGGAACCCCGGCGGATCCCCGCCCGCGCCCATCTATTCCATGTCCCGCCTTCACCATCCCCCCCCCCCCCCCGCGGCTTCCCTCGTCGAGCCGCGCGGCGGAAGACCCCCCCCCGACCCTTCCTGGGCGCCGAAGTGAAACAGCGATGTGAACGGGGGCGGGGGCGGGAGCGTCGGCGCGGATGTTCCATCTGTCACAGTCACAGGCGGCTGGCGAACGGCATACTCGAGTGGAGAGCCCGCGACGCGCGCCCGTTGGCGCGGGGCCTTGAGCGGCGCGGCGGAGGAGGGAGGGGGGGACGTGAAATTGGTCGGAGCCTTTTCAGGGAGCTGTTGAGCCGTCGAAAACGTTCGGAGCGCGTCGCGGCCCCCGAGTGCTCGCAGGCTGTCCAGGCGCAGGTCGGGTCCCCTTCCCTGCCCTGTCCCCCCGCGAAAAATGCCATGCGTTTTGTCTTCGCCTGGGAACCCGGGGCTGCGCGGGAAGCTTCGGGGCGGAGGGTCTGGAGACGGGAACTTTCGACCATAAATTTCTTCGACCAGTCAGGAACGCCCTATTACGCGCCCGGAATACCGTAAGTCACACTTGTCAGGCACGGCCCGTTAGTTACCCCAATGCCTTTTTACGCGACCTTAGGTCCGCCTGTGCGGCTCCGCCCGCGGCCGCCGGCGCTTCCGAAGCCGCGGCTGCTTCGGGCCGCTGACGGCCCCGGGCGCAGGGGAAGGTCTCGCGCGGTTCCAAAAGTCGGCAAAGCGCCGAGAGGGCTGTGGAACGGGGGCGCCCTTCTCAGAAGGTGGGGTGCCGATTGCAAGCCTTCCAAGAACCACCCGCCTTATAAGAGACCCCATCGCCCTCCTGCCCCCTCTCGGCGCGCCGCCGAAAAAGTGAGAATCATCTTGGCGAAGAACCCAGCCACGCGCAGGCGCGAGTGCTGCGAGGCTAGCGCGACGAAGGAAGGGGGGCACTTCATGGGGCCACGAACTGCGCGAAGGCCCGTCGAAATTGACGCGCGATGGGCTGGGGCCGCAGGCGAACCCTGCCACTGGAACCTTCGGAGGACATCGCTGTGAGACCACGAGCGGCGCGACGGGTGTGCCACAATAGACGTGCGATGCGCGGGGCGCTGCGTGCAAGCCCTGCCGCCGGGGCCTCTGGCGGAATTCTCAGCGCATGGGCCACGAAACGCAAGATGGGCGTGCCAAAACAGACGTGCGGTGGGCGGGCAGCCGCATGCGAACCCTGCCACTGGCGCCTTCATTTGATCTTCCTGCGGGGCCGCGAACCGTTGAAGGGGCGTGCCGAGATGGACATGCGGTGGGCGGGGGGCCGCGTGCGAATCCTGCCACAGAGGCCTTCGGTGGAGTTCCCAACGAGGCCACGAACCGTGTGAGAGGCGTGCCGAAATTGACATGCGGTAGGCGGGGGGCCGCGTGCGAACCCTGCCGCTGGGGCCTTCGGAGAAGCTCCGCATGGGGCCACGCGCCTCTCGGGGGGCCTACGGGCCCACGACCCCTGTGAGGGTTGTTCCGGCATGGGCGCGCGGTGGGCGG